CATTTATACGCTCACAAAACCTTGGTACATCTATGTACGTATTAGACATATTTCACACACCATAGATTTCTCCGTACATTAGCTCTTAAGCTTAGAAGATATTCTCAGCAGATGGATCGCGTACCTACCGGCAGCTGCTCGCTGCGGCTTTGGTGAGTCTTCTGTTGTTGGTATTACACGTACTTCTGCCATGCCACAGCAAGTGTTTCCTAAGCTCTGACCGCGCTGCCTCTCTGACAGGATTAAGTAAGACTTTCTTCCCAGAGTGTCTAGTTTGTGCTGAACATATCCTTGATGAACTGACAACGGTGTTACGTGAAAAGTGCAGAGTCAATCTACTCAACGCCATTTTTTTAGATCCTCGACAGAAAGTAAGGAGTTTACTTGAAAATTTATCTTATCTTAAAATGACCTTCAAGGACAGAATCATTGGCAAGGATATACTTGAACTTAATATTGTTGCATTTCAGGAATTAAAAATAGATGTTTCCCGTCAAAAATTCAATTGATCTTCAAATGACCTTGATGGTCATAGTCAAGGCCATGGACATACTTGAACATAAAATTTCTTGTCCTTTTTATTTCCTGTATCAAAAATAGGGGTCTCCATTCAAAAAAACTTCCTTGACCTTCAAATGAGCTTGAAAGACATAGTCAAGGTCGCCATTAGATGAATCTTTTCAAACCTTACAACATTTTTCTTTATAAGACGCATTTTACGAGATATTTTGTCTCTCCCTTCTTTCTGGGCAACCTCAAACACCCACGAACATCATGTCTCATATGGGCAAAGGCATACTATAACGTAAATGTGTTTGCTTTTTACATTTTCGGTTTCAAAAATAGGGGTTTCATTTAAGAAAACTGTGTTGATCGTGAAGGTCATAGTACAGGCCACGTTCAAGTTCACCAGTGGATGGATCTTTTCAAATTATACAATTTTGTTCTACACTTTTCTCTAGGAAGTGTATTTTTCGAGATATTTTAATCTATCCATACTTTTAGAACACCCTTTAAATTTTCGCAGATTAAACAATGCCTCTAACCTTGCACAGATTTCCATTAGTAAGTGCACAAAATTTTAAGTTTCTCTGTATAAATATATAGGTGTATATATATACATATGAAGGGTACCGGAGGAAAACGGCATTATAGTCCATTATTTGGCTAAATTGAGCTTTCAGTTTATTTTGGTGGCATTTTCCTGATGCTATCTTGTAATCAGCTTCTTAAATTGTGAAAAGGGCTTAGGTTCACAAAACAACAGCTATAAGATTCCCTGTGCCGGGGAAGAATGCCATGGGTGGCGCGTGTATGGAAAAACGGCATCAGTCCATATGGAAAGGCGGTGTTGCATCGGCCGTACCGCTTGGGCGCTTCGTTATTGCATTAGCCATAGGTTTACTGTTAGAGTCCACGTGTGTTGTATATGCTGAAATTTTGAATATTGACTATATTCGCTAATTTAGTTTATAATACGGGTTTTGTGTATAATGGATAGTGACTATTCAGTTTTATGTGAAAATAAACGAGGCCCATCAAACAGAGAAACGAAAAAACTCGAAAAACAGGAAGACAAAGAGACGTAATGAAAACGTTGCGCGTCACTACCCACGAACTTGGATCTGATTGTTTTTGTGAACGTTTTCGCTGTTTTACTACTGTTCCTGAACCTGAACGCTGTAGACTTCTTCGTGAATTTAATGAACTAGGAAACACTAATGCACAAAACGCTTATCTTAGTGGTCTTATCACTGATCATCCTGTCATGCGTAGACGCCCTCAAAAAAATGAAGCAGTCAAGGCATAATAATGCATTTAGTTAGCGTGTCCGATTGGTTGAAAATAGAATTATACGTGATGTTCCAGTTTGTCTTAAGGCTTTTTTGTCTTTACACGGAATTACAGTTCGCCGAGTTCGGTACATAAGAGACTCATTAGCTGCAACTGGGAAATCGCTCATCGAGATCCGTGGAAAACACAACACACGACTTCAGAAAACGCGAAACAGAAAGTGACCAAGTTTATAAAGAGCCAAAATGCCGCAAATCACATTATTCTTTGGCAAATTCGCAAAAAGTTTACCTACCTGAAAATCTAAATATCGCAAAATTACACAAAATGTATTCTATTGGCAATGTTGAAAACAAGATTTCCTATCAATCCTTACGAGAAATCTTTGAAAACAACTTCAATATACCGTTCGGTTATCCAGGAAAAGATACTTGTAGTACGTGTGATTCCTTAAAAGCTGATATATATATTCACTTACCGCTACCTTAAATTCCCACACGGAACAAACTAGGCAGTCAGCAAGTAATAATTTGGAGAAAAAGATGCTTGAGAAAACACTACATCAAAAAAGGAGTGAGCGATTTTACAGTCTAAAGAGAACTTACCGCAAACGTGCCTCGAAGTTCCTCGCTATCGAACATATCACGATGGATTACCAAAAAAACTTGCCCTGTCCAAATATTACGACAAATGATGTTTACTATAAGCGGCAACTAAATTTCATCAGTTTTAACATCCACATTCTGTCAAACTCAAATTCTATCTTTTATACCTACGATGAATCTATTGCTAAGAAAGGAGCTGACGATGTCTGTTCTATGCTGTATCACTTGTTTTTATAACATCCTGCCTATGGAAGTAAATGAACTTGCCATTTTATGTGACTCCTGTGCAGGGCAAAATAAAAACTTCACAGTTATTCGGTTTTTGCATTACTTGGTTACCAAGAAAAATCGTTTTACTACTGTGAAAGTAATATTCCCGATGAGGGGGTATTCATACCTCGAGATAGAGATATGAGTCTCGTGAACCAAAGAGCATAACACTGAGGTACCGGACGACTGGAGAGATGAATTGAAAAATTGCCGTGTGAAACCTACACCATCTGAAGTCATATATTGTGGCAAAAATTTTGATTTTCAAGATTGGAGTACATTTTTATCGCCATTTTATCCAACGAAGTGCCCTTTTCTAACCCGACCAGTCAGTATGCTCAAGTTTTGTAAACATAATGCTCGCGTAGTTTTTCACAAATCAACATACATGGGCCTATATGCTAGTTCTAATTTTGATAAGGTGATTCGGAAGAATCTAGAAAAGACGCAAAAAGATCAACAAAAACGAGAAGAGGAAACATTGCGAAAACTTTATCAGGGCCCAATCCCAATTAAAGGTAAGAAATGGAAGGATCTACAGGATCTGACCAAATTTCTAGCGAGAGCAGATTCCAAGGCATTTTATCAACAGTTAATATCTTTTGATCATCCAGAAGACAGCAGTGATGAATATGTCCATGACCCGCCAATAGACGCTTACAGCAGGGGAAAAGCGGCACGAGTCCAGAGTTGGACATCATCTTTTGTTTGTTACGTTACTAGTTTTGAGTGAAAGATCATTTTGTGAAACCTATTTTACCAATAAACTGTTTAGCAAAGATATTCTTTACGGCTTATTTTTTCATCAATTTTACTTTCCAACAAGTAAACCTTAATTACCGATTTTCTCAAAATCAGTCCGGATGGACTATTGTCGTTATTCCCCGGTACCCTTCATATATATATATATATATATGGGGAAAATCAAATTTCTCTGACGGCTTGAGTTCAATGTGTACGAAACAGAAGCGCGAGAAGTGTGTATCAACACATGTTAGAAAGAGATAGAAGCGGGCTGAAGAGCAACCATATTGCCTAGCGCCGCGGTGACGCAGAAGGTCGTGCAATCTGCCGCGTTGCCTATAGATTCTGCAATAGGTTAGGTTACTGTCAATCCCAAGAAGGAGGTCTGTTCGAACATTTAGTTTAATATTTTGTTTCTATTTTGATGAGAATTAGTTATTTCAACATTGATGCGGCTTAGTGTTTGGATTTATTTTAGAATTATCTTTGATTTCCTCCGATGGTGATAAAATCAACACATCCTGAGTTATTGTTGCATTTTGCGACAGCGAGCGGTAGGAAAATGTTGCCAAGCGAACCAATGATGCAATGTTACAGAGTTTGTGCCGATACTGACGTTTCATTTCGACCTAAAATGGAGCACTGTTAGGACCGATCCGGAATCGATCCTAAACAGATTCGACACAATTCAAAAATGTGTACGCTCAAAATAAAACCATTATTTGGGCGTAGAGAATAACGCATATTTTCAACATGCATCTTAATTCAAGGAACTGGTGTAACATATCGGCAACGCTTCGCTATTCAGTCGGCCTCTATGCTCAAGCCGTCAGAAAAATTTAGTTCTCAGCGTAGATACAAAGAAATAAGTTGTTATACTGTAGAAACCTAATCTCAACCTTTGCCCTTCCCAATAAATTTTTGGTAGGATTTTGTTAGCGATGAAAGGACGTAGCTTAAGTTATTTTCGTTTTTTTTAAAGTCGATTGGAGATATGTGCTTGCATCTATCGGATCTTATTCATAAGGTATGATGAATGGATACTTGGAGGGAACCTAAATTGTTTGCAATATGTAGAAAAAGTCAATCTCCCTTAAGTAGTTTTTCCACGTCCATGAACCATTTGTAGATTTGTATATTCAAAGAGGTAAAAAAACAAATAGGGATTTTTTTCTAATTTATTACTGGTTCTTTAATTATGACAAGGCACATCTGTAGGTCAAAACTAAGGTCAGGGATGTTGAGATTAATTAGAAAATAACAAATGATACTGGTAGCGACATCTGTTGTCATGTACTAGTAAATGTGTGTATGTTTTCTATGTACGAATTGTTCATGATGCACAATGTTTGGACCAAGTGTACTTGATGTTACTTGGAGTATTGAAAGTCCATTTGTTTAGAGCGAATAAAATTCCATAAAGAAGAGCAGTAGTTTTCCTGGTAAAAACAGTAGAAGTAAAAGTAAGAACCAGAATAAAATTTCGAAATGTTGGGTGGCTAATTTCAATGACAATTAGGTACATTTTGCAGCTGTATAGCAAAATCATCAAAAGTTGGTAAGTGGGTTCTCATTATATAAAGAAGATCTTGGAAAATGTTTTTTATTCAAATAAATTAGGTAAAAAATAACAATCAGACTATCCTCAACTCAAACATTGGCTTCTCTACAATAAACCTATCAAATCCTAATCTCGTTAAATCTATTGTTTGAAAATTACCATCTAAAATTAATTCTGATATTGCTCTACCGACTGCTGGTGCCTGCTGAATGCCTGAAAAAAAATTATAATCAACGCATATCCCTAACAATGGCAGATGGAACAATGGATTACTTTTTAACATTCTCTCAAAAACTACTGAGCTGGTTGGCTAAAACGTCTGTTACAAGTTTCTAAAACATATTTTGCTCACTTCGAGAATGAATTATACTCTAGCGCCTTTCGAAAGTACTTTAATTTAAATACACCTAGTGCGTCATATAATTCTTAGCGATTTGCATAGCCCCTCCAAATCAATTCAAAGCCCCTTACCCCTCGTCAATTTTCTCTAGGGTGTTTATCGCTCTCCCTTAGATCTCTAACGCACAAAGGGCCGTTATCGCCCACTTCGAGATGGTTTGCAATGCCAGTCGCTTACTGATGTTTTTTGACAAGAGAGATATCTTCTCGCTGAACAAACACGGATTCTCCACTGGAAAGTCAACAACAATAGCAATCCATTCGTGCTATGAGCGACTGATTTCATTCACTGGAGCAGGTGAGGGTCCGGTTGGGGTATTTTGCGATTTTACCTTACCAACCGTAACATTCCGTTGCCAAAGCTCTCTGTATCTATTGTGTAGGTGGCTCAACTCATACCTTGTTGATAGGAAGCAATATGATTCTCTACTACATAAAGATGCGCAAATGTTACATCGAGTTCAATCCAGAGAAGTCATTGTTGATACTGTGATTCCTCAAGGTTCCATTTTAGGGTCTATTTTGTTCACTGGGGAGCCACATCGGCAACTCGACTTCAACCTGAGTTCGAGTTGCATTAACGATGCGAAAAGAGCCACTAAGTATGTACAAAGGGTACTATAAAAGTTTTGCAATATGACTCAACAAACGGACGCAGGAATCTGTATGTTACTGCATGTTGAGACTTGTCCATGGGTGCATAGTAGCCGCCAGCAGCACGTCTGTTGATTTAGTTGTTCATTCGTATTGACAGTGTAAAGTGCGGACTATGGTATCGCGGTCACGTTGTGAGATAAGGACAGTTTCATGCGTGGCTTAAGCATAGACCAGTGCTTATAAGAAATGACGCTTACATTAAAGAATGACTGACCTCATCGTACAACTATATTCAGGTGGTACAGATAATTCCAAAGGGGCAATTTCATTCTGGAGGACGCTGAGGGGAAAGGAAGGCAGCGAACGTCAGTAACAGAGCAAAACATTACTGCTGTGAGGAAAACCAGCAATTCATTCAATTCTGACGGTAGAGCAGAAGACCCGTCGCACGACTTGGTGCCCAAAGTTGCTGAAAATGTTTGATAAGGGGCAACCTCGGTATGTGAATAGAATCGTGACAGGTGACGAATCTTGGCTCTATTATTACGATGTGCCCACCAAGGCTCAAAATAAAGTTTGGGTCTTTGATGATGAGGACACACCCATAGCTGTCAGAAAATTCCGATCTGTTAAGAAAAAAATGTTAGCTCTATTTATCAAATCAAGCGGGATTGTGGAGCGTGTCGTTTTGGACACACAGAAGACAGTCACAGCTAAGTGATAGACGGAACAGTACCTGCCTAAAGTCATAGAGTCTATGAAAAACCTACGGCCAAAGTCAAGAATGACAACATGGCAATGCTGCAACTCACTGCGTCAAAGTCTGCACCGAGTATTTGACCACTACTGGACTGAAACTGATTGAGCACCCTCCTTACAGTCCAGATCTTGCTCCCTGCGACTTTGCACTGTTTCCGCATGTGAAAATGAAGCTAAAAGGAAACAGGTTTTCTAGCGATGAGGACCTTCTGAGGGCTTGGGAAAGTGTGCCGCACTCCCGGGTGAAACTTGGTAGAGCCGGTTTACGGACTGGTTTTGACGGATTGAATGTGGTGGAAATTACTCTGAATGGAGTCAATCAATAAAGCAGTATTGTAAAACTTTAATAACACCCTTTGTACTTGCTAGAAAGAATGTGGAATATAAATCTATCCAGGGGCCGTATTTTTGTAATCGGTGATAAAACTTGTAAATGAAAAGTAACACAATGGTCATGGCAACATTCAAAACTTGCACACACATTTATTGCAGGTCCTACTGAATGCCAAGGAACAGAGAGGGATGAATTAGTAAGGATATTGGTAGAGAATTAGTAGGAATATTAGTAGAGATTACTAGGGAAGTAGGGATTAGTAAGGATATATTAGTAGGGAATTAGTAGCGATGCTATTCTTTTGTGGTATCAGATACTGAGAAATAAGAATAATTTTTTCTATACGTTTTTACCAACTTACCGTGACCACTAAAGCCTGTCGCTAGGTAGAGATTTGTATAGTATGGATGGGGGCCTATGATTCCATTCATGTCATACGTGTTATATTCATAAAAACCACTCCATCCACCATTCACCTGCAAAATTGTGAACATTATTAAAAATTTATTTCTAAGAAAGAACATTTCAAACTCTTGAATTTGACAAGTTCGTCAAAGAAGCTCATAAGCATATGATGCAGAGAAGAGCTCAGAGGAATAAGTTCCGTTGATATTTATTAAAAGGGCATACCACATACTCCATAAATTTTGTAAAAACTTGAATTTCAAGTGACAAAGTTTCAAAATAAGCAGTGAAAACAAAATCGTTTTCCCTGAAACATCATTATTTCATTTCAAACCCTGCGTACACTTAAGTTTTCAGAAATTTTGTTTTACTTTTGTATAAAGTACTAACTGAGGATAAATTACTGTATATTAAGCCATCGTTAGCTGCCAAAGCGGTCCTTAGGACCTTAGCTCTTGTCATAGTGACAGTTCGTAATTATTCAGTACCTTAATACACTCAAATGCAGGTACTCTTTTAACCAAAACTGGCCAAATTTTTTCATCAAAATATGAATAATCAACTTCTAAATCATCAGTAGGAGGCTCGTCTTCAGGTTCGGGCGACATCCCAGCTATGAACGTGTCTCCAAGACCCTCTCTCCTGAAGTACATGTGGGTATAGTCAACGACCATGGGGGTATTCAAAGTTGGCGCATTTTCACGACAGCTGAATGTGTACACGTATCTCTTCCTGCAAGAGAAAATACGACTAATTGTGTAATTACTGAAATAGTAGGTTTACAAAATGGAGTCTTCGCGATTGACTACATCGCATAATATTTTCATTATATATACAATACTGCCTAAGTCAAACCAAAGAGAAGTTATATCAAGAGAAGACACTTCATAAAATGACTATATCCGCGCCGCACGGGTATCACTTATCTTGAAAAGTGACATTATGCCGATTTTTTTTTGACATTATGCAGGTTTTTATACAAGATATTAACTTACTTATTAACTGTTATCAATCTTTAGCTCTGATGTGATGTAAAATGTGCTTCTGAGATGGCATTACTGGAGGTCTAAGCTGTAAGTTGTATGTGTTGATGATAATTACAGTGAAAGCTGCCATAAGCGGACACTCACGGTTCCGTAACTTTTGTCCGCTTATGGGAGGTGTCCGTTTAAAAGAGAGTATGTAAGTATAGAGTATAAATAACGGGGTATATAATCATGAGGAAATGAGGTATTATAATCATGAGAAAAATGAAACAGAAACTCGCCACATTTTTAAAGTATGTATTTATGCTATATATCTATATAATATATGTACATATACGCATACAAAAACATAAATGCTTCAATACATGGTACGAGAATTTAAAAAAAACATTATTCTTTAGCTTGTTGAAAAAAGATTAAAATGTTTATCTGACGAAATTTCATCATATTTTGCTGAAGGAGACAATTTTCGTAATAACTTTCTAAATTTTTCAAATGTTAAAATGCAGTGAAATCATCTTTAGCAAATTTTTTCAATATAGAAATATGATTTAGAGCTTCCCCATATGAATTTATCGTTTTTGAACCGCTTAGTGAGTCCACCAGTTCCAGTTCTTCTTCTGAGTCGTTTGGACTACCATATTCAAGTTGGCCTGGGCTTTCTACATCCAAATTCGAAAAGTTGCCAATGGCATTTTCTTCTGTTGTTATGTTATTGTCTATGGCCAGGAAATCATCTACTTTCTGGGGATCTGCTACTCCTAAATGTTTGGCATGTCGCAGTAACTGAGCAAGTGTCGCTAAGGGCAGATCGTCTTCAGCATCGCAATAATTTTGCTCAGCAAATTCTGAGCTACATTCACTTTTTCTGAATCCAGCTTTGCCAAAACAGTTTTTAATTGTAGAGGAATTTACTTTATTCCATGCTGTTTTTATAACATACAAAGCTTCTAACACATTGATAGACTTTGTAAGCTCAGATAAGCTTTGACCATCGTCAATTTTTGTTAAAATATGTTTTAAAATCAAGTGCCGATAATAAAATTTAAAGTTCTGTATGACACCTTGATCCATGGGCTGACAAACAGAAGTTGTGTTTGGCGGTAAAAATATAATTTTCACATTTTTCATTTTCATATCACGAGGATGAGAGCATGCATTGTCTAAAAATAAAAGAACTTGCGTTTTTTGGATTCTCATTTTCCGGTCGAATTCGACTAACCACTCAGACATGATTTCTCGGGTCATCCCTGCCTTTTTGTTGGATTTCCAAGTCGCTGGTAGATCCTTAATAGCAACGTTTTTTAAAGCACGGGGACGAGCCGCTTTCCCGATCACAATCAAATCGCATTTTTCACCGGCCATATTTGCACAGAATAAAATGGTTAGTCTATCTTTAGACAACTTTCCACCCACACATGTTTCTCCTTTAAAGGACAGAGTTTTGTCGGGCAATGCGCGAAAAAAAAGTCCACTCTCATCTGCGTTGTACACATCTTCTGGTTTGTAGCCAAGGAACATGGACGGAAGTTTCTCCAAAAATTGTGACACATCAACTTGATCTACTGCAGCAGCTTCGCCAGATATGCATTTGAAACTCACACTATGTCTCTTGCGCCACTTTTGCAGCCACCCGTCGGACGCACTGAAATTATTATAGCCCAAAGTAGTGGCGATTTCTTTAGCTTTCATTTTCACTAACGGCCCTGAGATTGGAATGTTCTGACTTCTAGCTTTCACAAACCACTCAAAACATGTTTTGTCTATAGCAAAACCTTCCTTTTTTAAAAAATCCTTCTTTTGATTTATATTAGTTCCTGATTGCCATTTACTCCTGATATCTTCCTTATTTTTGGCAATTTCAGCTGCTTGCGTTTTCCCAATATTAAACCTCTTTGCCAAATGACGAACTGAAACACTTTCTCTGTCTAATACGTTAACAACTTCCATCTTTTCCTTTAACGAGAGCATCCTTTTTTTTGGTGCCATTTTACAGTTACAATAATAAAATACGTAACTCAATCAACTACGAATTTGTCTGAACTGAAGACAAGCCACAAGATTACATACAGGCTACCCAACGAAATGCGTAAATGGGGAATCACCTAATATAAATCGGGGAATTACCAAATTTTATGTATGTAGATATGTGCATTGCAATAAGCGGAACTAAAAAATCGTCCGGGTATTAGAGTTTCGCGTCCGCTTATGGGAGATTTTTTGATCACATACAGGAAAATCTAGTGTCCGCGTCCGTTTATAAGAGCGTCCGTTTATCGGAATGCATTTAACATTGAAAATTGATGGCTGAAATTCGGTTCCAGCAACTTTGTCCGGTTAAAAGAGATGTCCGCTTATAGGAGCTGTCCGCAAGGAGAGCTTTCACTGTACATTGGGTACTTGTCTCAAATACACTTAATTGAGATTCAAAGCTAGAAATTAGTTGCGCATCGACTTTTTCTTATCCATTCTGGAAATTACATATACAAATTTGCTGAATTTAAAAAATGAGAGAGATAAGAAATAATTATATTCACTGTACACTGTCGAATTTCAAGCCATATACATACATGCTAACAGTAATTACACACAACTCGGGCGCGGTGATGATTTCTTGTAATTCTCTTCAGTTTTTCGTAATTTATAACTTTGAACATAACCTCTCTTCAGAAAGCACAACATAAAAATAACCCGCCGGGCACCGCCAATAGATATACTTCATTGGCAGCATATTCAGTAACGATTTTCTCATACAGCAAATATCACTGATTTTATACACATGCAGACCAATACACGTAATCATCCAGATGCGATCTTGCTATTCAATCAACTTTCTTCTCAGAGATAAAAACTACAGACAAGGACCATTTGCCCTCACAAAACATATGCAACCAAAAATGCGTTTAGTTTAGTTGAGCGATTCCTCCTTAGATGTACGTTCACAACGTTCCTAGTGAGCAAACGTGGAATGACTGTTTACGCCCTAAAAACTACCTAGTTTGCAAGATGACATAGGTTTTTTACATGATACCCATGCCGGTCGGCCCCATTGACATTGGGAGTTTTTTGCATTATAGTTGGGAAGCCAATCAAAAATTTTTTGTTACATCATCGCGTACTAATATTCGAGAAAAACTTTTGATCAGTTTTTAACATACCATATCAGTACCCGATGTGACGCAATTGTGGGGTAAGCTCGGTTCAGTCTTATGGTGAGGCTCATGTCGTTGCTCTTGATATTACAAAAACATTCGATCAGCTGTGGCTTGCTACACTCTTACGTAAACTTCCATCCTATGGCCTCCTAGAGAAGACTTGCAGATGGGTGACTGACTTGCTCTCTAGCCGTAAGATATTTGTCTTAATTGACGATTTCTCCTCTGCATCCCACAATGTCAACGCAGGTGTTCCCAAGGGCTCTTGGCGCCGACACTACTCCTCTTACATATCAATGACCTTCTTTCCTGTATGATCAATCCAATCCACAGCTTTGCTGATAACAGCACTATACATGCAGGATTTCAGAACGTCAAGGCGATCTCTGCTGGTGAGCTGGAAGAAAGAAGACTAGCAGCGACTTCCTCTATGACGAGCGACCTGGAGGTTATCACTGCTTGGGGACGCAACAATCTTGTACAGTTTAATGCTCTCAAATCCGGTTATGATGAATGGCCGAGTTCTGCCAAAGAACCGATCATTTCAGCTGGTCGGAGTCTAGATCACCGAGGATTTGATCTGGCACGAATAAAAGCGGCAGCTGCTGGGAAAAAGCTAAGCTATTTGTTTAGAGCTAAGAAGTATTTTTATCCCATTCTATACAAGGACCACATAAGACCTAGCCTCAAGTATTGCTCATATGTTTGGGGTGTTACCACCCCGACTTCCTTATCAATGCTTGATGCTATTCAGAGAAGGGCTGTCCGACTAATGACTAATCTATGACTCTTCCCTAACAGGCAGTCACGAAACTCTTTCGCACCGGCGGACCATCGGCAATCTAGCTTTCTTCTATCGCTACACCAATGGGCTTTGCTTCTCAGAGCCCTCCTCCATGATGCCGCCGCGCGATGTGCCTGCCAGACAGACCCGCCTGACTTCCGCCTTCCATCGCAACCGTGTCGAACTTCGTACATCTAGAACTGGCTAATAACCCTTGGGTGTCGAGATTGTGGAACAATATACGAGATGAGACTTTTTCCAGTTCTACTAACCCTAGGAGGCTCAAAAATCGGATCAACAAAGCTTCTTTGGGATCCTCATAGCAGCCGCGGCGCCCTGGCATTTAGGATTCTGTCTGCGCGGCTCCTTTGATGCAAAAACACACAAGTTTGAGGTCGGCTCTTGGACTACCATTGGTTTACAAATAAAAACAGCGATTAATTTGCGGACTGTGCTTGGTTTGGCGACTCGCTTATAAATGGCTCCTGCTTGTACCAAGGCGGTGTTGTCATACTGCCATAATATGTTAAGAAAACGCTACATTTATTCTGAGCTTAACGGAGTTTAGTTGTTTTCACGGTCTTTGGTGATTACGTCAAAAAGTCATACGAAATAAGTGAACATGTCGTCTTCAGCCCAGACTATCTAGATTACTGCCAACCATGTCCAATAGACCGACGATTGGTCAAAAAAGCAATTTGAGTTGAGAAAATTTTTGAATTTCTGGCTGACCCACCTCTTTTGTTTCTGAATCAAATCGTGTAATAATCTGCTTACGGCCCTAAACGTTAAATAGCTATTTGTTAACTGAGGTTTTGAGAATAACTTCTCTCGCGAAAAGTGAGATTTATAATTTTATTGAATGCAAAATATATTTTGTAGGCTGCAATCGGATGATAAATATCCCCACATGAATGCATTTCTAAACAAAAGTAAATTTGAACAAAAAATACGTTCAAAGTAAGTGATGATTGTTGAATTTATCCAAAAAGGATCCTGTACTTGGTAACAACGTAGTTGTTTTTAACTAAATAAGAACAGCACGTGTTTCGGTGGCATCAGCGGTTTTGTGGACGGTATGTTTGAAGTGATCTTTTATGTCACGGACCAGCAAAAATGGGAACTCGAAATTTGATTTCTCATAATTCTCTGCAGGAGGGACAAACTGAACATCAGTGATATGTCTTGTCTGAAGGAGAGTTCATTCTTCAGAATGATAGAAATGAAACCTTCTGTATTCAACTGAAAGATAGTCATCAGCAAAAAGCCTGTATGTCACGGACTGACCTGAAAATGACATGCACTGGTTTCTGGGGCCGGCGGTTTGTGCGAGACGCTAAAACTATGTTGGTTATTTTTTATCTTAATTGTAGTTAATATCATTCGAAGACAATAGAATTGAAATTGAAATAAAAGGAAGTGTGAAATGTTTCTGGCTGGTGGTAAACTATTACTGGTAACTTAACACTCTACACCCATTTTAGCCATGTTTGATGCACAAATCATACATTTTTTAGGGCCGTATCGTCAGTCGTTCCCACAATAATTGTAGGACGCCTTTATGACCTCCTTGATTGTCATAGTATTTTCTCTTCTGCAAAAATTTCTAGATTGCACCTGTTCCGTGTGAGCGTCAGCGCTCTACTATTGTGAAGTTAGTTTTCTTTTGGACTGTAGAAAATTTCAAGCTGATAAGACATCATATAAATCAAAAGCATGTACAGTTTGATGCGAATAGATATTTGTGACATAACCTCAAAATAGAGCGTAGTTGTAGGAACGACTGACGATACGGTCCTTAATCTTGTGCTCAAAAGCTGAAGTATGTACTTGATTGCAAATACATTTTTATGCAACATACAGACACAGTACAATGCCGATGCGCCTATTTTCCTGCTTTGTGTGTATATACCATGTCTTGAGAAGATGTGAAAATCACAGTATTTATGGAAAGTTAATAAATTGTTCTTGTGTTTCGACTTATCTACAGACTGGAAGTCAGTATAACCTAATTGTCTTATTTGTATCTCGCATCAGTTATAACACCCGCTGAGAAATTGTTAAACCCCGAGAAATTCTTACTTTGCATTGTTTTACAGTTTGAAATGTGTAACTTACGTTAAGAAGTATAATAGCATGTTCCCAAATATTAATGCTCATCATAATTACAAATACTAGAAATCAAAATTTCAAAATCATTCATACTCTTACACCAACATATTACAAAAAATCATCTTAATATAACTGCATCAAATTGTACAGGGTCCGGCAAAATGATCTCCCTACATTTTGCACCGCCTCTGTGCCCAAATCAGTGAAGAGAGGGGGACTTAGCGTAGTTGGTTGATAGCTCGCGCCTTGCCATGAATTGGACGGGCGAGAGTCGTGTCTTCCTTATCGAAACATTTATAAAAAGTAACAAATCTGTGATTACCACTCAAAGGACTTTTCGTACTCACTTCGCGCCTGGTAGACATGCTCCAGTTCCAGATCGCGAAACAATACTGTTGTCGGTTTCAAATTTTAGAGCTACAGGTTCAGCCTTAAAAAGAAAATCAACTGGTAGATCCAGAAGTGTTGGGATACCTGAAAATGTTGCAGATGTAAGAGAAGCAGTTGAACGATCTCCTAGACATTTAGCTGTTAAACACGTATATCTAAATAGCATTTACAATGGGGTTTTTATTAAAGCTCAAAATGTGGGAGATCATTTTGCCGGACCCTGTAAAATAAATTATCAGTTCAAATACTACAAATCAGTGACTTTTTTCCATTTAAAAATAAAGTTAAAAAAATCAGAAACACCAAACGCATTTTATAAGAGAATATGGAATGTGCAATCTTGAGTACGTAAAGATTAAATTGAACATTTATAATGTACTGTTATATATTGTATTTATATTGATTATTAATAATGTTACACATTTTATTTGTATTAGATAGCTTATTTATATCTTGCACATGTACTACTGTGTATCTGAGTAAATAAGAATAAAGTTATCAATATGTATGTAGTTGGTTTCAACGGCCGCGGTTAGTTCAAAATATTAGATGACTGCCAGTTACAATAGCATTATAAAAATAGTTAATCGATAAGGAAACGTCAGTCCGTGTTAGTGATGGAGTAAAAACGGTTAACGTAGCAAAAAACTTTCTTTAACATTAATTGCTGCTCATAACGCATAGGATTTGGATCCGAAGTTGGAAGAATCATAGAAATTCAAAGCTCTATAAAAATCGAATTCCATATAGTAATCTCATTACCAAACAAGAAACTTCAGATCCTCTCAAGATAATACTGGAACATTCGATGAATTATAAGGATAATTGGACAATGCCTATCAATTTTCTAATAAGACACCCCATGAGAAAGATGCTTCGAAGATAATACGGAAAAATTTACTGAACTAAAAAGAGCACATGGACTACAAGCCCTTTGAAGAGTAAAACACGACACAAGTCATCATGTACGGGAAGCCTCAGTTTGTGACTATCAGGTTGACATTACCGTGGAATTGCTCTACTTCCTTATTTTTATGAATTGGCTCCTTGATTCAAAGTGAGTGGTCAACATACTCGGTGAAAGTTCGTTGTTTGAGTGAAATAACACAATATATTATTGTCATTGTACTTGAAAAAAGTTACCCTGGTGGCAGAAACGTAGTACAATAAACAGGAATTTAAACATATATGTGGTTTTATGCAGCCAGACAATGGAGTCCTACTATCTCTGCTCCACTGCTATTAATTATTGACCAGAAGAAAAACAATGAAGATCGCCAGATAAAAATTTGAAGAACCCTCAAATAGTGAATACGCATGATTTTTTATTTACTGCCAATTATTTACGTAAATATAATACCGTAAACACATATTTCATTGATGGAAATGTCTATACATATTTTCAATTAAATATTCAACACTGCAATGCCAAGGACGAATTAAACGCAGCATTTTTGGTATGCTTCGCAGTGACGTCACACTTCTAGACATGTCATTTGATTGTTTTTTTGGTTAGTTTGCTGTCGACTTTTTGAAATAACATTTTTTTGTAATGCTGTTTGGGGCAATATATGAGGTTATCATACAGACATCTATTTTCGAGAGATTACCCGACTGTGCCTTCTGAAAATCACCTTCGGTCATTGTCACTCAGAAGTAAGTGTGGTCTAAAGTCGACGAGAACGTTGTAAAAATAACCCGATATATAAGTATATCCTTTCAAACTTATCAAACACTGTGACAATCAATGACAGTGAGACTGAGTAACTGACCAATCAACAAAGGGTTAGCTAGTCACAAGTCGCGAAAGGTGTCATCACGCCAACAGTGTTGCGTTTCGATATTTTATATTTACATTTTTTATAGTTCTCGTAATTTTATAACCCTTGAGTATAAAGTAAGGCTGCAAATTCTCTATTACCAGTCATTCTTATTAATTTGCTTCTAGCCTCAGTCAATAAAAAATGACTAATCATACTATATTAAATGTTGCTGCACTTACCTTTTTTCTACTGGTAATGATAAGCTCAACATACCACTTCCAGTACCTATCCTTGCCTTTTCAGCAATTTCTTTGGATTTACATCCTGCAGCTATGATACAATACGCAAATTGTATTGTTCTGCGTTCTCCATTTGGCATTTCTACCTAAAATCAGTTAAAAACGCTCTAGCTACATTTTCCATCTCTTATATATCAATCATAGCTCGAATGCCATCTCTCAGAAATCGACCACCGCAAACAGTGAGTACTTATTTATTCGCTGTCACCTCGGTACCCACTGGTAAACCAATTATTCGAAAGTCTGCAATTTTGCCAACAAACATTGCAATGTAAACATATAGGCTTGGCTCCTAATGTATTCGAATTCGTTCGGTTGGACGGACAAAATCAGTATTATTAGCTTTCCGAGTGTATTTTAGTATGCACCCAAAAATCCTAATTATGGAAAATATTATTATATTATATGTAATGGTATCTTTACTGAAACAATCTTTATTTTCTATCTGCTAAACCATATTTTGAACAGCGGTCATCCTTTTGATAAAGTTTGAGAATATTTTACCATTAGTACAGGCTGCGGCAGCATAACTTCATTTTTTAAAATGCGCGTCATTCAGTCAGTTGATGACAAACGCCAGAAATCGCATTACTCAATTTACTGATTCATAACACACGATGTACCTGCTAGACAGACCCACCTGACTTCATCTAGAACTGGCCGATACGACCGCCCCTTTGTCCCTACGGGACAAACTGATCTCAATTCTGATAGCCTTGGGCAGTTCAAAAATCGGATAACATAATTTCTTTAAGCTCCTTAAAGCAGTTGCGGTGTCCTGGCATTTAGGCGTCTGCTTCGGTGTAAAAAAAGATTAAGTTAAAAGGAATTTATGCTGCCGCACACAGTGTAAGTGGCGATTGAGCCTGGAAACATTTAGCAGCATTGGGAAAAAGCGGTATCCTTTGATATGTGCTCCTGGTCCATAATCATTTAAATAAAACAAAACTACTGGCGCATATAAAAATATTACAATTCTTGTGAAATAAATACACAGAAGGTATTGCGCACAAAAATTAACATAAGAATACGAAATTTCTACTATGTTAGAAAAATACTATAGTTGTAGCCACCGGTCTTGGCGGTTACGTCATCAACGTCATATGAAATAAGTAAACAGATCGAGTCTCCGTACCATGAACGGAACACTGCGCAGACTAATCTTCAGAGCATCTGCTGCTCTCTCCAGTACGCATGACGTGGGTAACAGGGGACTGCTGTTTTCCTTCTCTACTTGGAAATACTTTTATGAATTTAGCACGAGCTGTCGGCCTCCTCCGTTGATCGTATTTGCGGGCATTGTACGAGTACAATTTTGAATTGAAGATTGATAACAGGACAACTCGAATTGCATGCCGATGTCAAGTAAGTTGTTACCCTGACAAATATGATTGAAGGGTACTCATACGTAACGATAAAGTTTTCAAGACGCAGACACACAACTAAAAAACGTATGTCTTTGAGCTTACCGATCAAACATTCACACACAGGAGTAGGTTGCATGTGTATGTATGAGGGAGATGGAGATATATAAAGGGATACTGGTAGTCTTACTTTGACCCGCCAAGAACGGTGACGACAACTATATCATATTTAATGACGCATATTTAATCTTATCTCTTTAATTAAAAAAAAAAATAGAACATAATAAACTATAAATCTTAATCGAATACACGAGAAAAATTAAAAACAAAAATACCGTTATCAGCGGGGATTAAATTTCGTCATATCAAGTCAAACATATCTTCAATTTAAAATAAAGCGCTAAAGCAGGTTTACAGTCTTCTTTTCGATTGAACGTAGAGGTCAAAGTGTGATTGTATATCAGCGACGAAATTATTCGCAAAATTTTCCGAAATGATAAAAATTTTGCAACGATTTATTGATAATATCGCATCTGGTGCAGCGTTTCAACTGCGATCTTCCCACTAATAAATATGCTATAATAAACTGACAAAAGTATCTGGTGAACATACATTATACAATGTGTTTGGTCACGACATACCGATATTTAAGAGGGGTATTTTTCAGCTATTTTTATCGACAAATCCAACCCCCTACAATGTCCTACCTCATCCTCCTTGAAATAGCAGCCATTTTTATTTTTACGTTACGATTACGGTAGTGCATGTATGAAAATTGTAATAACTGAGTACGTAATTGTCACAGAACGATAAATTTGGTGTCATTTGAACGACTTGTTGGCCTAGCGATAATTGAAAAACTTGTTTTGATACTAACCGTCAAACATACTTAAAAACAGAAAAAAATATGGAAGAAAATTGATTATTGTGTGCACTTCTGCACGCCATTCAAAAACTATTCTGTGAAGTTGTACTTTTTTTGTGCCAATTCTACAGCTTTTTGTTATCCTAAGTATTCTACGTTAAGCAATAAGTGCTATCTAACATGGGTAAGAATGGGTGTGATAAAATGCAAATTGTTCTCAAACTTGCTATACATAAAAATGACAAATCAATGTTTCTTATAGATAGTTTGGACATGTTTAATGTTACAGAAGCTGTTCAAAATGTCCTCCATTATTGGTTATGCACATTGTTGTTCTTAAAACAATGTGTCGTGTTCAGCGGCAGACCATATCGGTGTCAGCCCTAATTTCGTTCGCAGCGGTATCGATCCATTTCAGGGGGGGGTGAGGTATGACATTATAGGGGGTGGATTTGTCGATAAAAAAAGCTGAAAAATATCTCTCTCAAATATCGGTATGTCGTGACCAAACACATTGTATATATACAAGTTAAAAAAACGCCATTACAAGTACAATTTAAATAATATCAAAAGATTTCTATGTGAATACCGGGAAAAACGTCAAGGAAAAAATCAATTGTCATCCAAGTATCTAGAAATTCCAGTTTTCATCATTTCATAAAAATAAAATTGTTGCTTTAAAATTTGAAAATGTTATATTCCAAGTACTTACAACAAGTTCATTGATAGCTTCATAATTCCCTTGCTCCACTCCTTCCACAATTATATCCTCCCTGTTTTGAAACACAAAGTCTACAGCTTTAGCATTGATATATTGAGCCCCCTTTTTATGAGCACCATTTTTCAATACAGTTAATAGGGACCAGGGGTCAAACCAGCCTTCTTTCTCTAAGCCTAGGCAACCTACTGCCACATCATCTACATCCATCCAAGGAAATCTGAGAGGCAAAAAATGAATTTAAAGTATTGCTTAAACATTTTTGAGTACTATAAAAAGTATGCAAAATTGGTTATTGGATATTTTCTATAGTATTTTTATAAAGATACAAGGAAGGAAATTATTATAGACCAGCTTGCATCTGCCAAATACACAACAAATAAATGCTAATAAACAACTCCACTATTTTCTTTAATTAAAGAGCATGAGAATGATTCAACAAAGTTTGGTATTATTAGTTCTCCTAACCTTTCCTTGATTTGATTTTTTGTTAAAACCATATTTACAGCTCCTAATTCTGTTTGCAATTTTGAATTGTCAATTAACTGCTGTGCACCTGCTTCACTGGATAATAACAGATATCTGGAAAGAAACAAAGACAAAGAAACAATAAATCAATAATAACAATAAATGCTACACATGACAGTTGAAAATAATACCGTCAGTTATTCAAAAATATGATTCCCTGAAACCATCTATCTAGAAGTTTAAGGGATCTCATTACACATTCTTACCAGACATTTTTGTTGCTGAAGAATTTTGTGTAAAAGTGTGCTACTAATCTTGTGTTACAGTCTCCAGTCCGAATGCAAATCACCAGCTTTACACTTTTTTAGTACAGTACAGTATTACAGAATTTAGAGGTTTCTTATAATTACCCATTTGGATGAAAATTGACATCAGCATCTGGTCCAAAACGTTTTTTGAGGGTTCTCAGGAATTCAGCACCAAATAGTGACATCTGGATGTTTTCTTGAAGAGAGAACTGCTGTCTAAGACCACCCACAGATAATGCAGTAGAACACGTTTTATACTGAAAAGGAGCTTTGCAACAGTTACTTGATATTACATTCTAAGGCACATTTTTAGAAAAAATTCAATAAATACACTATGGATCTAAGTTGAAATAACTGAAAAAATAAAATTCTTCATGAACATTTTAGTATATTCAGTTTAGTACTATTGATTAACTGCTTTCCAAATCTCGATTTTAACTTTTTGTGTATGATAAATAATATTATAAATGATAAAATGAAAATGTGTGCACTTACTGTATTATCTTCTTCTACTACAACAACTCTGATACCATCTACGCCAGTTTTTTCTTTTAGCCAATAAGCAATGGAGCTTCCCATAGCACCTCCTCCTATTATCACAACATCACAAAATCTTGGAAACTCCCTATCAAGCATTCTCCTATAGTCCTCTTCATTTGCAGGGCGTTTAATAAGTTTTATGTCATCACGTAATATCCTCAAAGTTCTCCTTATGGGATTCTCGCCCTATAAGACAGATGTATTGAAATATGTATCACCTGATTGTAAACAATAAAAATGAAAGCTTGTAAAAATGATTGTTTATGGTTTTTGGAAGTATCATATTAGTATTATACTGTATAAATTTGAGCATTCTCTTTGAAATTAAGAAAATTCTGATATACATCATTAAATTTTATATTCAATCTTTTTCTCTATCATTTAATCTATCATTTATGTCTCAAAAACTGATATTCAAATTTTCAATCATTAACATGAATACTAGATGCAGAGCAAGATGAACTTGCCTCTAGCTGTAAGGCTATGCAATGAATTTCTTCCCACAAGAGGTAGATAATTTGATTTGCTTAAGATATGTAATATTTCTGTTAATAATTATAATCAATTTGAGATACTAGTGAAAGTATTTATAGTTAAGGAATTAAAGAAAAATTCAAAAATGTAACTCACAAAATTAGGTTCAGTTAGTTTTTGTTATGTCTCTAAATTTGGATTACTCCGAAAATAAGGTTGAATCACAGAAATTTTTATTGCTTCCTAGTTTTTATACAGATAGCATGTGATAAAATATATATCTAATGAAGTAAAGTATAATATTATTATTGAGTGAATTTTGGTCTACACTTTTTCCAATAGTGTACTTACCACTAGAGTGTAAAGTGGCAGTTACAGTTAGCACAATTCAAGGAAATTTTGAGTATGTATACAAAGCATACTTTTCCGTTTTTAGGAAATCGGTGCATCCTTTTTTACTATACTTACTGCATATATGATTCTAAATGGTCAACTAACATCTCTTCATAATTCACAACACTAAGCATTTCTATATTACAATAAAGTACATGATTTTTGTTTCATGATCCTGAATTTGTGATATAGGTAATTATCATATCTATTATCATTGATCTTATCTTTCCTTTTAGCTTATGAATGCAAAGACATGCTATAATTATATCGACTACTGTACAAATTTATAATCAGTATAAAAATACACTTTTGTTTTCTGCTGTATATTTGGTTAATTATCAGAACTGAATTTCTATTTAATATGACATTATATATAATAGGGGCCATACATTCACAAAGTTGGAGACAAGTTTAAATTTTATCACAAACTTAGGTTCAAATGGGTCTCTAAAAAAAATATTTGCAGGGATACTGCAAACTAGAATACAGTTTTTGAACTATACTACTCTATTTTTTGGAAAATGTAGAAATTAAAGGTCCCTTAACATGCTGGGACTTTTACCTTAGTTCATTATGAACCATTTCTTGCACGTCTTTCTATATCAATAAATAAAATGTAGTTTATGAACTTGATACTTACTGGTAATGGGAACTTTTTTTGGGAATTTATATTGATTATTACCTGGTTTTCCGTTGAAAGCCTGCATGTTTTATGAAGTTTTCGGGAATTGGAGACTATCCTACAAGCACGAGCAGCTGTAGTTTTGAACATTCTTTCAGTTACGTTAATATATGGTAAATGGTTTGAGTTGCTACTATCTACAGTCCAACGTCATCAACAACAGACTGAAAATATATATCTACTGGGTCGGTCGAGAATCTTAGTTTAAGGTTACATAAGTTTATATTTGTAATCGGTATACATGTAGAAAAAATATAAACACCCTTTTCGTCAACTAAGTGTGAGGTTATGTTAAAATTTTTTAGATCACATGTCATTTGACACATTTGACATTGCCTTGTGGAATTGTATACACTAATCAAATCCAAGGGAATAACCAAAATTTCTGTATTATGTGCCGCGGTTATAATATGGTTCAAGATGACACACGGGTTGATGACGTCAGTTACACGAAACGCTTGAACGCGTTGGTTTTAACCGCGATTTTTTTGCAAGTTGTTTATTTTATAAAAGCGCATATATAATCTCCGATTATTTTTATTATCACTTAATAATCGGTGCTATTTCGTCTACAACGGTGAATGGAAATTTTAAATAAGAAATCTTTCATAATATTCATGAGAGAAATGTTTTTTTTTTCAGAAAACAAATTTTAATGAGGGAACCATGGTTTTGTAGCTATGATAACGTTCAATTCTCGAAACTTTTCCGCATGCCAAAGAAAATATTTATTGATTTAGCAGAAATGATGAAAAAGCGATTAAAAAAGATATTTGCGAAACCGTATACAGGTGGACATCATCCAGTGAGTTTATATGGCCATATTTTAATATTCTTGTGGTATATGGCTACACAGGATACTTTGTTAAGCATAGGAACTAGATTTAAAGTGTTCACAACAACAGTAATGAGTATAACTAATGAGGTGCTCCACTTTATGCTAACACTGAAGTCAGCCTGTATCAAGTTTCCCAAAAATGAAGCTGAAGTACAATAAGAATATTCAATACCCGGGAAAATTCTAACTTGTCACATTTCAAATAATAACCAGAAATATAAAACTATTCCTGAGTTGGTAAATACCACAATGTTGCGGTGATAACTGTGACATGTAACAGCTGATTCATGACGTCACGGATCTTATAACCAAACTGATAACCACAATCGCTTGAACGGATCGGTAAATACCAACCCAAAATGGTAAATACCATTTTCATTTGGTTATCCGCTTGAATTTGATTAATAATCTGTGACATTACAGATGGCACTAATCCTATCACAAGTTGTTTGGAAGGTTTTCTATGTTATGACTGTCAAATTTAAGTAAATAAATAATGAAATCTGAAGATCTGAACTCAAAAAATAAAATGCGACGCCGACACTACGGGCACGTTTGCTGTGCGCTTCGGGGATGTAAGTCCCAAGGCAATGAAGGAATCGCATTTTTTAGATTTCCCAGAAACTAGCAAAAGTAAGTTCATTCATCATGTAATTAGTATAAGAATGGGTACTGTTGCGTCTTGTAGAACTTCGGATTTCACAGTTTTTTGTCAAACAAATTGTGATACTGCATTGCATTGCATAAAATATTTTTTTCAGATCTATAGAGTGGTTACATCTGTGCAATAGATGTGATCTTTTGAGCAAAACAGTACAAGAACTGTACAATAACTACAGGATTTGTGAAAAACATTTTGACAGTAAATATATAAGTAATGCTGATGGAACTCGGAAGCGTTTATTTCAGGGAGCGATTCCGACAAAATTTCCATTTACTGTTGAAGATACTCCACCTATAACAAAATTAATTGTTCACCCCGGTAAGAAAATCTGAAATCTATACTTCTCAGTATAAAAATATATTAGTTTACATCTAGATATTTTTCAGTACTAAATGTTTTTTTCTAGACTTACAAGATATAGCTGTAAAATATATGCTCTTTTTTACAGATATTGGCTATTTCTCCAATGTAGTTGAGAGTAGTGTGATTAGCAATTTGGATGAAATGGGTATGTATTTAATACTGATGCACTTAGCGATGCTTTAAAACTTAAACGTGTGCATATGTATTTGTGTATCCTGTATTAATAACAGCTTATCTTCCATTTTTATGCACTCTCTGAATTTGTAAAACACTAGTACTTGGTGTTACTTGTGTTATTGATAAAGTATTATATTTTCACAGATGTAGACTTTTCCTCCAGTAGGTATAGATGGCAGCAAAACAAATAGAGGACATAATCCAGATATGTATTCAACTTGGTAACACTATACTTTAGCGCATATCACAAATATTTCATTTCTCATTTTAAAATAAAAGATTGCACCAAAGGATGCTCTAACTTATAGGAATATAACATACACTGTAGAGTACTAAGGAAAATAGATGTGAAACTATAAAAAATTGTAGGTTTTTTGTAAAAAAAATGTTCAAAACTAGGGGTCTAATAAGCTAAAATAACAGTTCAAAATACATACTGTAAATGATGGTATTTACTTGGTAAACTGTGTAGAGGTGTTGTATTGACATTTTTTAATGTCTTCTTGAAATCCCTTAAACGTTTTGTTTCGGGTATTTTCAATGAGATCAAAATTTTTGCATTTATAAGAAATATTAATTTGATAGTACAAATAATTGTGAATGGCCATTTTATAAGGTTCATTTCTTGACAGATAAGATAAATGATGTCCATTGTTGCCAAGTTGTACTTTTTTTGGGAGAAATACATAACAAAATGACGTTATTTGAAAAATAAAAGTCTTAATTTAGTGTAAATGGCTTGTTTTATTAAAATTGACCTAATATTTACTGAAAATTAGATGAAATTTTGAACAGTATGTGTCTAACCAGTTGGAAAATGCACCAGGGGCTCGCGTGTCTAAAAATAGAAAAGGCACCAGCTGTCATTGCATATAAAAATACCCAACTTCGATTTGTTGATTTGGACCATGTCGCCAGGTCCACCCAACATATCATCGTCCAACTTTAAAGTTAAATAAAGGTTAATGACCATTTCAAAAAAACTTTTTCAGTAATTTCTCATATATTTCACATTTAATTAGGTATATTTTGTGACATCAGCCTCACTTTAAATAATTCTTCAAGAACATCCATTTAAAAGTAAATAGATTATAACTATAATATAGGAAAAACAATAACCAAAGTATATTTGTGGAAGGCATACAGTATTCTTCAAAAAAGTGTATTTAGCTAATGCTTTCGTAGGACATGAGGTAGATTTAGTACAGTAAAACCTGCAGGCCACACCTCCAAATCGCATTTTCATGGCAATCCTGTACTGATTGCACATTTTTGCGCTAGTATATAAGTAAGAATTCGACAAACCAAATCAAGGTATATTACTATCCATGGTTTTGCAACATCACAACTAGATGCATAAATTATGATAGTGATGGTGGTGAGGTGATGGGAATATTTATCTGAAATAAAAGAAATGACTACTTAACAATGTTCTATTTTCATCATTAATGTGATATTCATATAAAATTGAGTATTCTTTTGTGTAAACAAGAAAAAAACAGCTTATAAAGCAGTATTCTATAGAACAATATTACCAGCCAAAATGCAACTTTAAAGTTCTATAAAATAGCAAGCAGAGGGTTCCTTAAAGAAAAAATGATATTTTCGTACAAGTTACATCCTAATCTTTCATTTTAAAATAAGAAATGAAGTATTTGCTATATGCACTAAAGCATAGTTCAGCCATTCAACTATTTCATCTAATGTAGTCTGTCTGCCTGTTTGGCTATTACCTGTACCTACTCCTACGGGAGCATCAACAGTTGTTTCTCTTGATTACTTAAAAGCATTCATATTTACAAAATCGCTAACTTCAGGTCTTGTTGAATAATAAAATATACACACCAGATATACACAAATGTATAAATCATTCATATGTACAAATTTACTATGATGATACCCAAATAATAATTTCGACACTGAAAATTTACAAACATGTGAACAGCTATGACACAACAGTAACCTGGAATCCATAAACCACCAGTCAAAAATACATAATTTTAAGTTAAATCCAAATAAATGTACAGCACTTCTCCTGTACTCCGAAAATGACGAAAATGAGATTAAAGATTTTAGTAAGTGTCAAAATGAATTTCTGTAACATCAAAAATTTTGGGTGTGCAAATTGACGAGCGGCTTCATTTGAGTCAACACATTACTACTCGAGTCCAAAAAGCATACATATGAATTTATGAACTATACAATAATATGTTTATTGTAAGTAGTATATTAAAAAAATGGCTAAGTCAAACTTTGGTTCTATCTGACAATAAATAAGGATTCTTAGTTTATTTTCCTTGTTTAGATTACATGCATAGAATACAAACAATAAAAAATATATGCTATCACTTTATTCATTGACTGATTATTCTACATTTCCAGCATACTTTAATGATTAAATACATTTTAGTTCAAATAAGCTTCATAATTTAAACCTAAGAGATCTCTAGATATGCCTTATCACCCAACAACCTTTTTTCATAGAAGTTTTATGTATTGATCAATCACCAATTCAACTCACTTCCTTTAGAACCTAAACAATTACCGGCACGAAAATTTACGGTAGGGCGTATGCAATAGTAGTATGATAGAGTAAATCATTAGCTATTAACAATAGGATAAGTGAGTTTGTAACCTAAAAATATGTTTGTTTATTTCATTTCCCTACTTCAAATGTTTCATTTTAAAATCTTCCAGTGTACTACATCTACCTAAGGTTAGGTGTAAGAGTGGCAAAATCTCGCTTTTTTAGATAATATAATATACCATATCAGATCAGAATTCAGCAACAAATATACTGCAATAATGGAAAATAAAAATCGTGGAATTCATTTTGAATGCTGTAAAACTAAAGAATTCGCCAATTTTTTAGTACTATGCCTTAGTGTATATCACCATAGTTGTAGAGATAGAAAAAAGGATTTCATTGTAATAAAGAAACATATAGTACAATGTGGACTTGAATGTGCCCGGAAAGCTGAAGAAGAAGAAGAAATTGCAGATTCCTTAAAGGAAGGTAGTAAAGATACACAGGGATTGAACAGCATGGAAGATGGTCATCAGCTTTTGAAAATGATGCCACTGATATGAACACAAAATTACCAAGATGAAATCAGCAACAAACTGGAGATGATAAATCCACTTCACAGGATACTCAATGATAAAAATAAGCTGATTGACATAACACTTAGTGTGGGCTACAATCAAACGAAAAGAATAAACGACCTACCAATAAAATAAATCTATATACCACACAAGAAAACTTGAGTGAGGAAATCAACCTCGCCCAAAATTTCAAGTTTCTCCCTTACGGAGTTGAATGATGATAACACCCCTATGAATGCACTTGAAGTTGATAGTCGGTGTAAAAAAAATCCTGATGGGCAGTATAAACTGTAAAGGCTGCTACACACAGTGCCGGCGGCAGGGCCGCCGGGCAAGCCGCCGTACACCCGGCGGCATACAAAGCCGCCGGCCTTGCCGCGCAAAGGAGCCGCCGTGGTGTGCGGGCGGGTTACGCGGCTTGCCGGCGTCACTTCGTTCCTGGTATTCGAGCGGTAGTGTTGTGCGGTTTGTGTGTTTAAACAAATTAAAATGTCGTTTAATTGGGACGACGAAGCTGTGCTGCTCTTAATTGAAAAATTTCATGAAAATGATATATTATGGAATCCCAGAAATGCAGCAGTTCACTAGCTTTCTAAGTGACTGTCACAACCGGAATGATGCTTGACGGCTTTGCGCGGCTTGTGCCGACGGCATTGCCGCCGGCACTGTGTGTAGCAGCTTTAAGAATGTCAGCTTTAGTTTTAATAAAAATACCAATGCCCATTCGCAAGTTGAGAAATTCAGGTGACTCAATCCAGGAGTTGTTTTGTTTAGTTATGAGGAAGCATCTTCATCTTGTTTGACAAATGCAGCGACAAATAAATCACTTCATAATCCTTCAAAAATTTGAATAATTGGTGATTAACATGCTAGAGGTTTACGAAGAGTTCTGGAGCTGTATCTCAAAAATAAGCTATATTCAATTATGTCCGACCAAATATAGAGTTCGTGGACGCGTCGAAGGTTATTTTCGAGAAAACGATTCAATACGGCTCAGCTAATTTTGTAGTTGTGATGGTGAGCACAAAAAATATTAGCAACACACATGAAATGCATTCTGACAAATTCTCATCCACAAGATCAACACAATAATTAAAGATTATACAAAACTCCACAAAATGTATCATTTTTCTTCAACATGATAGCAGGCATAATGGATGAAACAAAGAATCCTATAATACGCACTCATGTACAACATCCTTGTTATTGCAGGAAATGATGGGGCTTCATTAGCTTTGAGAACAATACAGACATTAGAAAGCCAAAGCCAGTTTTTTCTTGTAGTAGGAACAGTTCTCATACTAAAATTAGTCAGCCTCGGACCGAAGTACTATTGGAGTTATTCCATACAAACACTTGATCCTTGAGAAATAAAATCCACTAAGTAGAGGCCTTTCTTGCAGATAAAATATTGACCTGATTTGTATTACTGAACCCTGATTGCAGAATCATGAAATCCAGAGTATGAAGCTAGGTGAATATACCTGCATCCATCATACCACCAGCGATCAAGGTGTGGGAGGCGGAACAGCAGTTTTTTTTTCAAACCACATTTCAGTGCAGTACCTATGAACCCAGTGTTAGATTTTAATGTGGAAAAATGTATTGAGTGATCATGTGTGTATCTTCCAAATTTTAATATTTATATTTTAGCTATCTATAGATCGCCCTCTGGTCACTGGCACCATTTATACGTCCTGGCCGGGGAATTCAATGTGCATTTTCTAACTGAACAGCAGAGGGCTGCTCAGCTCTGTAATTTATTGAGAAGCTTTGGATTTAGTAAGAAAGTATATTTACCAATAAGGTTTGACTCTTGTCTTGTCAAAATATAGAGACTGAACTTTCTGATCATAGGCTTATAACACAGCTTGGCAAGCATATTTTTTATAATATAGTTGAAGCCATATCGTTTAACTTCGTGTTAGATTGAACGAAAAATGTGGATTCGAAATTTAATATGTTTATTGAATTACTGGAAAAATATTTTCCTGAAAAACTCATAAGTTTCAGATCAGTTTAAGTGGGCAGCACGTCTGGGTTTAATCATAATCTAAAAGGAATCATATGGGTCTTCTGGGTGAACTAAACAGACAATACAGAACAGTTGATGCTGATAGAGAATTTAAATCGTTTAAAAACTCCAATAAAGACCATGTGGAATGTGATAAATGAACATAGAAACTCGGAAGCCTTTTGGATTTATCACTTTAATTATTTTTTTTACTAGTATAGCACGTAATATACTCAAGGATGTACCTAGAAATTCTACCATTGCAATAAATAACCAAAAACATCATTCCACCCGTAAGTTCTTACACATTATCAGAAACATCGCTTAACGAAATGAAAGAACTGATCAACAGCCTAAAAAATCAAACAAGCCGAGACATCGTCGGATTTAATGTAGGTATTTTTAAAACAATAAAAAATCTTATAATTATGCCCCTAACCAAGCTGGTTAATCTGTGTTTCAGGGTAGGAGTCTTTCCAGAAAGTTTTAAAAAAGCTATGATTTTAAATGGCTTTTACCGATATACAACAGCAGTGACAAGAATGATATCTCCAGAGTATAAGTCTTCTTCCAATAATTGCTAAAATAGTTGAGAGATGATTGCCTTGACGCTTGTGTCTTTCTTGAATGAAAACGGTTGTCTTGCAAGCTCTCAATCTGGACTTCGAAAAAATAAGAATGGCTATACTAGATTTTGTGAATAGAATATTGAACTCTTTCGAGTCCTTAAAATATACCGCAGCTACTTTTTCTGATCCCAGTAAAGCTTTTTATTTTGTGGACCACACGCTGTCCATCTACAAACCTAAATACTATAATTTTACCGATATTGCAAATCCACTCTTTACATCTTATTTAGCAAATAGAACCCAGGTAGTCAAGGTGGGAGAAGTGGTGTCTCGGGAAAGGGAACTGTTTATCGGAGTTCCACACAGTTCAGAATGCACAGTGATGTTCACGAACACAATACCAGGCTTGAGAGTAATCTAATGCCAGAGTGGCTTCCTAACTGACCCATGCAAGTACATATGTATATTGGCACCAATAAATGTGAATTTGAATAATGGTAATAAAGTCGATTATTATTATATTATTACGACTACTGGAGGTCAAGAGTGTACTAAGCTATGATTCGAGAAACTCTGTTCCACCGAATTGGAGGCGGTTTTTTAATATTCAAATCACATCTCAAAGCTAACATCACTGTTATATACATATTCTGATGTGTAGTTGCAATCTTCTTCTGGGGTAGTTACAATTATGTAAATATGCTCATTCATTCTGAGATACGAAAGAAATAACTTTTAATCCCAGTGTCTGTTATTTGCTTTCAATTTCTACGGATTCTTGGGATAAATCAACAGGTGCTAAATAATGTCTTTAATCAAATTGCCAACGTTTCGGTGTTCATTTTACGCCTTCCTCGGTGCTACAAAAATAGTAAAAAAAACCTTTAAAAATAAAAAATTGAGAATGTAGGAATGAAGTTACTGAGAACATACACAAGAATATAAAAAGTATAGAACAAACAAAAAAACGATGATTACAAGTTATTATACGATAACTCAGACTCCAACAAGTTGAAAATGTTTTATGTTTTAATGGGACATTACAAAGAAACATATTAAAAACCAGATTTAAGACACAACGAACAAATATGCAAACCTGTAAAAGCCAAAACATGCTATGGAATGAGACACGCAAAACGTGTCCCAAGGGAAACAAACATCCTTTCGATCAACTATAAAAAAATAAAGAATAAAACAAAGAGTTCAATTGCATTAAATCAACTAAACCAAAACGGACCAAATCTGGAAAGTGAAATTATGATTATTCAGGAAATGATGATTTGCCCAAGCTGTATGTTCCCTATAATTACTATGGACTTCTCCACAAGAAGATTGATGTGAAAAAGGTCAATTTTTCAGGTTTTGTTTTGTTTGACTGATATACACCATTTGACAGTCTCTACAAGGTATTTTGTACACTAAATTAGATTCATAGTTTTGATTTAAGTGAAGAATATAACATTCCCACCTCATTTTTACGGTAAAACACAATCCTTGTCATGTCATATGTTACGTGATGTTTAATTCTTTAATTGTAAGCATATGTCAAATAATGGGTATTTTTTATATCCATTTACTAGTTCATCAATTCTCTGTTGAATGACTGTTGATGAATCCGTAACATATTTGGAGATTTTAAGTGGTGAACTAAATATTCTAGATTGTAGATGTTCTTGCTTCGTGAAACTCGTCCATCATGTGATTGACTAGTACAATTATTGTATCAAGTTTTACAGTAAAGCACAGGGTTAGATGTGATACAATGCTTTTGGAATATACTGAAACAGCTTCTGTGTTTCACTGTAGAATTTTGTATAATAAATTTTACTACTTGATAAGTTGATCATATGAACTATTTGATAAATTGATTATATGAAATAAATAAAGCCAATGATTTGTTGAACATCGTGTTGTGTGAAACAAAATTGTATCAACTCTTTAACAAACTTTCAAATTTCAGGTCCTAGCAGCATTCATCAAAAGAGTCCATTATGTTTTGCAACTATTGGAACTCAAACTACTTTAGAATTAAGTTCATCTACACCAAGGAAGATAAAAGTCCAAGATACGAACACTAAAAAGAAATATTGCCCGTAGAATTATTTTTGAGAAGAGATCAAACCTTGTTGACTTGAAATTTTTCTTTAAACTGTGTGACAAATTTCTTGATAAATCATTTAGCCGACAGTGTTAAATCTCAGGCAGCATCAAGATATAAAATAAAACAAGAAAAGACATAAGTATAAGCAATTTGCCGTAACATTGTACCATGGGCATATAATATGTGTCTCCTAAGGGTCGTATCGTCAGTCTTTCCTACAATAATTATTGTAGGACGCCTTTATGGCCTCCTTGATTTTCATAGTTTTCTACTGTTTCGTGTCAGCGCTCTATTTTGAGGTTATGTCACAAATATTTATTTGCGTGAAATTGTTCATAATATTGATTTGTATAATCTGTTTTATCAGCCTGAAATTTCCGCTGACGCTGTCACGGAAATCAAGAAATACCCCAGCCTTTCTGAAGGAGAAAAAGTCTATGAAAATCAAGGACGCCATAAAGGCGTCCTACAATAAATTATTGTATGAATGACTGCCGATACGGTCCTAAGTCAGATATGAATCATGTCACTCTGAGTCTTACTGTACTAACCCGAAGCAACAACTTGTATTATGACCATTATGATTGTATGTAGATCAGGATCAATGCATGATCTTTTCGGGGCCATGAATGTTGAGGTTAAAGGCCGATTTATAAACTCGACGCTCGAGTACCCCTCACGGTAGAATGACAGCTGATTATCTGGTAATATCTCAAAATTCCCCTTATCGGCACAGGACACATAATTCTGACGGATCCATCAACGTCAGGTAGTCAGAGCCGTATTTCGTTTTCGTTTTTTGTACGTTACATATTCATTTTATACTTGCTAACAGCTCTTTAATTTAGAAAAGTTCATTTTCTTACAAAAAAATAAAACGTTATAAACAAGTTTTACTAGATTTATACCCGATTCAGTATTGCCAACGTAGACTAATACAAAAATGTCACTTGCTGATCAGCTGTTCACGTCAGTAGACGTCAAAGCGTGATGGATACTCGTGAAATAGGGATTCACTGAATCAAAGCAGTTACGTCACAACGTCAAATAATAACCGTGTGACGCACATGGTTGCCGCATTAATTAAAACTACTGATACTAGGACGTTTTATAAAATCAAGTTTGCCTTCAATGCCTTACCGCAACCAATATTTCGGAGCGTATGTTTTCTAAACAGTAGAGTTAGTATAAATTCTATTTACTACCTAATACCTCTCTTACGAACCGTAAAGGCAATAATGGAGCTCCATGATTTCGTTCGGTCTCAAAATATTTCGTCAAAGAAATGATGAATTCTTTTGCTTGTCGACCCAGAGGTTTCGGCATTTTAGCAAAAAGGACACCTCAAAGTTTTGAAAAAAACTGTTTTTATAAAATAATGCAAAAAATGAGGCGAAAAGAACGGAAATAAACCACAAATGAGCAACAGCCGTTGGCGTAATTACCTGACTAGCCTTGCAACAATGTCACAACACAGAAAACTGTTACCAACATAAATGTACCCGGGAAATTCAACCTATACAGGGTTATCCAAATTAAGTGTCCACCATTAGTAACTTTGTTATTAGTGAAAATACAAAGTTGTTTGAATTAGCAAACTAGTAGCATTTTTAACGCTGGTAAAAATGAGAAATAAAAAAAAACAAATGAGAGTCGTTATTTTGATTTTTTTCAGTAAAATGACATTTTTTTAAATGGAAACCCCTGTATATTATATTTTTTTCTGTTAAAGCATCAAATTTTAAACAAAAAAGTTCATAATGACTTTTCCGCTAAAGTCAAAAATAAAGTCAAAATAACGATAAATATTTTTAATTATTTGCAGTATTATAATATTAAGACGGCTATGAAAACAACATGGCGTTCGCGATTTGACAGCATTAAGATAAGCGACAAATTGTTAAACTGGACATACTCGCAACTAGAAGGCTTTGGAAAACAATGATAAAATCAAATAATGTCAAACATTAGTGTAAATACTTGTTTATTAGCTTTATTGTGTCATTAATTTAAAGAAAAATGTTCTCCCATGAAGAAAAGTGTGATATGTTAGAATGCTATTTAGTGTGCAGAAAATCCTCCTTGAGAGCAAGAGAATATATCCCGCTCGCATTCAACCGTATGAACGATATTTTCTGAGACTTTATCGAAAATTTAGGGGCAACGAAAATGTTTTTGCTAAAACAAGGGCAAAAAAAGAATTCATAATAAGCGAGGCCACGGAAATTGCAGTTATTGGATATTTTGAAGCTTATCGTGAGAATTCAATAGCAGATATTCTCAAGGACTCTAATTTCAGTTATGGTACTGTTCAAAGGATTTTAAAAAAATACAAATTTATTCCGTATAAGTACCGACCAGTTCAAACGCTTTTGGCAGGGGATCCAGAGAGAAGACTTGTTTTTTGCCATTGGTATCTTAGCTTCTGTCGCCAAAATGTAAATAACTTTCGTTACCTTTTATGGACAGATGAATCAAATTTTTCAAATTCTGGAATGTTTAATAGAAAAAACCACCATTATTGGTCAAGAGAAAATCTTTTGTTAGTACATCCAAGAGGCCCACAAGTCCGTTTCAGTTTCAACGTTTGGTGCGGTATAATTGGTTCAAAAATTGTTGGCCCGTTCTTTTATGAGGGAACCCTAACTGGTGAAAGATATGTGGAATTTATGTCAGAAATTCTGACTAATTTCTTAGTCGAATTGGATCTTATAAGTAGACATCATCTGCATTTTCAGCAAGATGGCGCACCTGCCCACAACTCCAGAGGTTCTTATCATTTTCTAAGTACTACTTTAAATGATCAGTGGATAGGAACAAATGGCCCAATACAGTGGCCTCCCAGATCACCAGATCTAAACCTACTTGATTACTTCTTGTGGGGTTACTTAAAGAACTAAATTTACAAGCGAAGGTACGATAACCTTGACGCGTTAAAGACTGCAGTTAGGGAAAAGATAACCCAGATAGATGGTAGGACCATACTTAAGACAGTTCGAGCAGTTGAAAAACGTGCCCAAAAATGTATTGAAGAACAAGGTGGTGTTTTCGAGCATCTTCTTTAAAAAAAATTGTTATTGTATTTTGTAAGATTATAAGTTGATGTTGAAAATAAAGTTTGTCGATACAATTTAATTGTTTCAGATTGGAGGTCATAACTTCAACAATTTGTAACCTAGGAGAAAAGTTATTGTAAGCTTTTTTGTTTAAAATTTGATGCTTTAACAGAAAAAAATATAATATACAGGGGTTTCCATTTAAAAAAATGTTATTTTACTGAAAAAATCAAAATAACGACTCTCAATTGTTTTTTTTTATTTCTCATTTTTACCAGCGTTAAAAATGCTACTAGTTTGCTAATTCAAACAACTTTGTATTTTCACTAATAACAAAGTTACTAATGGTGGACACTTAATTTGGATAACCCTGTATACGTACCAATTTAAGATCTATTTTGCATTAATGTTTGGATTCAAATTGACTAAATATGACGTAACTGCTTTGTTTCAGTGAATGTCAGGTGAATGGGGTAAAACTCGGGACCTTATTCAGAACTTTTTATACCAAACGATTTTTTACATATCTATATACCTTTAGTGACTGGGAATGTTGATAATAAAATGTACGAAGTATACATAAAAATGTTTATTAGAAAATTATTTAAGTACATTTGGAATTTATTATTATATTGAGTCAAGTCAGACTGCGCTGTCCTTTCCAGTAGCCGTAATTTTATCTGTAAAAAATATATACACGTGTTTCTTGTTAGTTGTCCATCATCAGTGCAACTTAATGTTGAGACCTAATTTAGGGAATCGAACGTATATCATTTTGGTCATATACTACGACACATTGAGAACTTATATGTTTCAAGCTCTGATAAGTAGAGATGATTAGTATAGTCAAATACTTTTTTATTAACTACCTGACTTGAACTGTTGTCATGATCATTAAGCAACCATTTTGCTTGTAGCGTTTTTTTTGCGTGCGAAAGAACTTTTACAAATATAAGCGTTGGTAGAAAGTTCAATATGAATCCGTGGCGTCCAAAAAATTATAACTACAAAATACGACTCTGTCTACCTGGCACTGACGGATCCGTCAGAATTGTGTGGCACTTTTCGATATAGGAAATTTTGGAATATTAGTAGATAATAATCAGCTGTTATTGACTGTCACGGTTCACGTAATCAATACTCGTAAAAATAGTGTAGCAGACACCCTCGAGCTGGTAGGCTACAGAGCTAGTCTGGGAACTTTTTGACACACCTTTGTATGTGCTACCATTTTTTCCAAATTACGTGTATCCTAGCTTACAAAGGAATATGAAAGCTGTAAACGTATTTATTATACAATCTGACTTGCATCTCTCACATCATAAATGTACGCATATATTATCATACAATTTAAACAGATGATTTTTTATGGGAATAAATACCATTGAATCGTTCCAGCACGTATCGTATACAGTTGGCGTAATCTCAAAACTGGACAATTAATAACGCATAATGTAGGCAGCTTGATTTTACAAACAAGTACAGAAAATGACTTGCAAGTTTTACAACTGAAAACTTACTACATATATCCTTGTAAAATGCGGGAGACGTTTTCCCCAAGAAATACTCGGCTATCCAAAACAATACTTTTATTTCCCGTGATACAGCGGATTATATGGTGTATGATGACGGGCGCTACTTTCAGATCACATCAGGAAAGTTAGGATATCGACACAGTACAGGGTCAGTAGAATCACTCTGGCTAATATTTGTCGGACTAGTCGATTTTACGCGCTCGCAGAGCAGCGCTGGTTCTAGCGCAGAGAGCACCAATATAACTTGAGCTGTCGACGTGCTTGCTTCAACCAAAAGTAGCGACTGACGCAGCGATAAAGGGTAGCCCTGTGTTTTCAGCGCTGTTAGCTGCGTTGACACGTGCATTGTTCAAGTGCTTGATTAAATTATGGATCAAACAGGTTCTGTATGTGGATGATTGTTTTGAGTCGGAACAATGTACTTGAAACCAACTTTAGCGAAGAAGCTACGAGCTCCTATATTCCCACAGTTCGGAAGTTACTGTTCGGATTCTAATGCAATTTTGACAACCTTACGCGTTGTTGACAAAAAACTGTTGTTAATTTTGATCCTTTAAGGAATGATTTCAGAAGTTTTAGAAGCCAGAAAAGAAAACCTTTTTGGATTAGTTTATAGAGGAAACATTGAACTTTCCATCCATACAAGTTGATGATATGATGTTGCCTTGCTTTGAGTTGTTCTGATCTGGTCTGCTATATATGACCGTTCGGGACTATTGGAAATGCATTGTTGGAAAGAACCGATAAGTCCGAACCTGTTCGGAGTACGCCGCGATTTACCGCCGCTTGACGTTGTAAACGGCGGTGCGTGTAGCTTCTGGGTTATCAGTAACCATTAAATTTTCCAACTCGTACAGATTTTGTTGATCTTATCAGGAAGGAATGTCTAGTTTTAAAATTTCCCAACCTGCTTACGTACCTGATAGCGATAAAACTCAGATCGAATCGAAAATAATGCGGTATCTGAGCGTAATGATGCGTCATCATGTGAAGCAGCGATGATATCGGACCACCTATGCATCGTTCAGTTCAGATATCCGATGCAAGAATCAGGTTTACATGAGGTAACATAATCGCTACACCGTGGATGAGGCTGCATAGATGTTCCTTGTAATGTTTAAACAACCGACCAGCGGTCTTTCAATTACACAAGTATCATAGACATACCAATACTGAATAGTGGACAATTTATAGTTGAAATGTATTTGTATAAGGTTTAAAGTAGGTGTTTCAAAAATGTTACGGTCATTTGTCGTACAATAAGTACGTTACACAACGTTTAAATTTACTTAAATATTTCATGACCTGAAGTATACAGTCATCAATGCATGTAATTTCTAAAACTCTGACTATCATTCATAGAATTTTTCAATCATTCAAAACACGTTGCCGTTATCTTGGTCATTTTAACAAAGTGAGAGCATCCTCAATCTACAGGATCTCTTGCTAGGGTCCATCGAGGGCTTGAGAATATACAAAACCGATTTTTTTTTCAATTTACTCCACCGCAATTGTACAACTTACAGAAACAGCTAACTATTATAAACTCGCAGCAATATGTTCCTTGCCCGATCACACTCCCTGCTCAGAATCACTTACTTCCATTCAGCTGATACCAGAAAAAGTTGTACAAACTATTCCGTCTCTAAAGCAAGATTCAAGCCCTGAATGTGACAAAATGCCATCAATATTTGCTAATGCTAGGAGCAAAGCTTTCGACAAAGTAATTATATACTATAACTATAAGCTTTACTTGTAATCCTTGTAAACTCATGGAAAAAATCATAACGCGGGTACTCACACAATTCTTAGTTCAGAATAACTTCATCCCAGACATAGCATGGGTTTTTTCCTGGAAGATATATAAGTACCAACTTGCTCTCTTTTTACAACAATGGGCAACTATGAATAACGAAGGAAATCTCATAAATATATCTTGATTACTAAAACACTTTTGATGAAGTTCCACATAAACATTTGATCCGTAAACTTGAGAATTTTGGTGTACGAGGTAAGCTTTTAGGTTGGATAGAGGCATTTCTAACGGAGAGCACCTTCAAAGTGGACTTCTAAGAGACCCTCACCCAGTGCTGAGTGGTGTTTTACAAGGCTCCGTATTGTGACCTCTTCTATTCCTTGTTTACACGTCAGATCTATCAATGGATATATGTAAAAGAAAACATTTCATTCTTTGCAGAAGATATCAAGCTATTCGGGAACCCTTCATTACAAGAGGTCGAAATTAAAAAGGACGAACTCCCAGATTTAAGAAATGGGAAATGTCACCCAATGCAGAAAAGTGCACGATAGTTCATATATGGAAGACGACAAATCGTCATATAAACTACAGCATAGGGCAGGTAGAAATTGCAACTGTACGGTACCAAAAGGAGCTATAGTAGCACATAATCTGAAATGGGAAGTTCACATTATCAACAGAATTAAAAAAACTCACTGATATATTTGAAAAAGCTGTTGAACTATTCTCCTGCTATGATAAAAAAGCTATATATACAAAATATACATTCGACCTAAACTTGAATATGCACACGGCGTATGGAGTTCCTATTTTGTCAAAGACATAGAACTACTGGAAAGATTGCATCATAAGTTAACGCGAATTCAACCAGAGATTCGACATTTGCCATATAAACAACATCTTTAGGCTATGAATTTGACAACACTCGCTGAGCGAAGATTACGAGGGGACCTTAGACCATTTAGATCATCAGTGGCAACTACTCATGTACCCCTTAAATATTCAATAAAAAACTAGAAAAAGAGAGCACATCTAAGATGATAAGGAGAAATTTCATTTCAAATCGTGTGGTATACTTCTGGAACTCTCTTAGTGAAGAAACAGTGGGTGCACCACGATAGCATTAAAATTAAAAAAAAAAAATGTTTGTTACGTATTTGTAGCGACATATTTTTCAATATAATAGAACAAAGTAGTCCTTATGCAACGCCAATAGTGATCTTTTCTTCCAAACTCTTTAGAATAAGTGTGATGTCACTTGTCATTCTTATGTATAATTATTATTTGTTTACATCTTCATTTGGTTATTAAAATCGCAGAATATATTTTTTTGGCCATAAATGGGCTACCAGTGTTTAACCATAATGAAATTGCCGTGAAAATGGGTTGGCATAAGTATCGTAATACCAGCAACGTGACAATTTTTTTTAATATATTTTTTTCTATTGAAGATTAATTCTTGAAACATATGCCTTTTACGGAAGATTATGGTATCATTTACAGGCAGGCGAAATAAAAACAAGGGTCGCAGAAAATGAGGCTAGAAATGAGTTGGTTGTCGTCAAGTGCTCTTACATGACCCAGCAATTAATTTAGGCTCCACAGTATTCCTGGGTAAAATATAATGTCAATTTACATTCCATCACTGTGTACGGCATTGCATTACTAAGTGATGAAACTTAAATAAATAAATAATTGGAATATAAACATTATCTATGATTGTTGGATCTCATGGATACGTCATCATGGGCGCGTTACAACCACTTGGATTTTACCATTCAGCACCCTGATCCATTGCATTGTTAAGTATGTAGTTACAATGAACTCTGGATACATGTGGATTCACCATGACGTTTGGTCCGTTAACGCTGATGTGTTATGGTAATTTTAAATAATACATAACATATTACGGAGTATTTTGTGCCTGGTTGAAAGAAATTATAGGCAAGTACCGACCAGGGGATTATAGGATTAGAGACACATGTGTCGGTAGATTGGTCCATACTTTGGACAGCCTAGGGATGAATAAGCGATGTCCCAGCTAGATCTAGATGTACCGACCAGAAATTAGGATAGGCAGCCCACAGCGACTTTGTCCAGCAAACCTAAAAATTGGTGGCATCACGAGGAAAATAATCACTGGTCAGTCGAACTGCTTTCCACCAAACTGCATCAATATAGTTGGGGATCCACAGACGTTGGTAGTATTCCAAGCAGACAGTCCCGTCCGGAACTTTGCATGAAGTAAGGAAGTTGGATTGTGAAGTATTTCCTAACTCCAAATAGCTAAATCAGCTTTGCTTCCACAACTGCCAAATCAAGTCTTCCCACAAGTCTGAATAAACAGTTTAGTAAAAATAATAATAATAGGTCTCTATTAGGGCGAAGTTTTGCCATAGGCTATTTCTTCCTCTTAACCCTTCTTGACAGAAAGCATTTTTCAATATCAAAACGACTCGATACGGCAGACCACGATGCTAATCATCCAAAAATCATATCTGAAATTGATAATCTTTAGTGATCACAATACTACCTTTATTGTTTTTACGTGGGAAGTGCGATTACAAGACCATGTGTCAAATCCTTATCTAAAAGCTGTTATATTCCTTAATGTCTGTAGTTGTAAAATCGTTCAATTCGGTTAGCATTGTCATTAAACCTATTCCCGTATGCGAAGCTGTCAATAGAATAAAATAAACAGCGTCGTTATAATAAATAATGTTTGCCCTGGTGCAACGAACTAATAAAACGATCATGTATGCATGCTCCGCATTTTTGCCGGTTTTAGACTGTTAAAAATAGAGCATAAGCCTTTGTGAGCAACGTACACTCATGGAGTTAAATTTATACCTGTACTACTTCAGAGATTAGACAAAGTGATGCTACTTGTGGTTCCATTGCTGTGTAGGATGATCGATAGGTGGAACGCGATTCTATTCATTCGAGCTAAAGAGGCTAATTCTCAGAATATGGCGCCCAACTAGGGGGAGTACCTGAGGAGTCGATCAAGTAGATTTATGTTAAAAACCAAAATGCTATTTTTAGACATGGTTG